TTATTTGGTGTTTAGAAAGTGGAGTTATGGATATTATCAGTGTAGATATTCGTCAGAGGACGGAGTAAGTGTTGGCACGTGTGTGGTGGGGTAGGCATTGGGGCATCTATGCGTCAAGCTGGTTGACTATGGTAACTGTGTGCTAACCAGTGTCAGGCTGTGATGAAGAGATGTAAGGGGATACTTCCAGATGTTACAGGATATTAGACGATGTTCTAGATTTTATTCACCTGTTTTGTGCGACTATTTCAAGTTTTCAGATGGCGGAGTCTTTTGGACAGGGAGCTGCCAACGGACGATGAGGGCCACAGTGAAAGCTGGATTCTGTCCGACGTGCAGGAGGTGCCCTAGCAGTCATCTAGACATAGAATGTAGTGGTGTATTGTGATCTGTTCAGTTGTGCAAAGTTGGGAGAACCTTTCGGACTTTGTACCGGTGTAGTGTGCTATCACAGCACATTTGAATGGTGCTTGTCTTCAGCTTCCTGCGAGCCTTCTGAGTTACAGTCTCCAAGTGGTTGACTTGGACACTGTTCTCAATTTGTGCTGGTAATTATTGAGCGAGTCATAAATTAGTTAAATAAGAGCGACCGAGAGTCTACTTGTTCAGCTCACATCACCAATTCATTGACCTCATGTGTTCGTCCATATTAGGCAATAATGACTGCACTAATAAACAATACCTTTCGTAATTTGTTAGTTTAATTCAGCAACAGTGGTGTTCTCAATAACTTTTCTAGGGACAGACTCGTAAAGGAATGGCCTCGATCATAACCCTAGACACTGAGACAGTTGGACCTATTTCGCTACAGTTTCATTCCAGAATTTAGGTTTTTCGTGCACTTTCTTTTTACAGATCTGGCTTACAAACACAGTGTTGGTTCCTCCTCTCTCAGGCAGATACACTTAGACTTCAAAGGTAAACAACCCTTATTAGAAGCCTTTTACGACATACTATTATACAAGGTGATATTATCTCGGAGCACTTTGTTTACACGCGAGGAGCTGCTGAGGCGCTGTTCAGAACACATATGGATCTGTCTAAAGTGCTGCGATGATGATTAGAGGATCATCAGCTCTATTTATGCCTAGTGGCACATGAGGCTTTAGAGAGGACTTTCCATGCTTTCCTGTCCTGTGCAATCTTCAGTGCAGTTTTCCATGAAAGAGACGCCGCACTCAAGTCACTTCCCATCGTTCGTCTCTGTGTTGTTTTCGTGCGCGCCTTTTTCTTTTTCCCTCTTGTATCCATGTGAGAGCTATTCGGCAGGTATATCAGGATTCATTCTCATAACATGGCCAAGCAATTTCCATATTTTCTAGTAGTCTAGTATTTGAGATTGTATCTGGCCAGAACATTTTGATAATGCTAAGCAGACATGTGTGGTGTAGGCGGATTGCTTGTGTGCATCCTTTTTGGTCATTCTCCAGCATTCTGTTCCATATAGAAGCACAGGCAAAATGATGCTTTTGTAGAGTCAGAGTTTCGTTCCTGTGCAGTAACTGTTGGATTTCCAGATTTGCCTCATTCTTCCGAAAGCATCTCTAGCTTTGTCCAGGCGTGGCTTTAAGTCTTCCTCTGTTCCTCCCAGTAGGGACACCACACTGCCAGGATATTCGAAATGTTCAACCTTTTCAAGTGTTTGGTTATTAATGGTTACTGCTGATTGGTTTGGACTGTTTGTGATGATAGGCCTTAGTAATTATCCTTAACAAAACTGTTTTTAAAAAGTAGGGAGTTTGAAAGTTAATAAGTAGGTCAATCAAGGACCTATTTGACGCCAGCGGAGCATAGAGTAAATTATGCCAGATTTAAAAATGTAAATATCAATCGTCACTCAATGGGTTGATGTGGTCATATGAAACCGGCCGACTTTACTTCCCAGGACTTTATAAATTAGTATGACCAGATACTGACTGCCACACTTGGTGAGGAAAGGCGATAAATGAGATGGTTTACATTATAGCTCTGTGGCTTCAACAGTCTCTCAAATATCGATTCTGTTAGAGAATGACATGGAAGTGTGTCAAAGGTGCACGTCTCTAGAGGGTCAGAGAGAGAGAGAGAGAGAGAGAGAGAGAGAGAGAGAGAGAGAGAGAGAGAGAGTGGCTGGAAAAGAGGGTGTTTGATCCAGGGGGAACGAAAGGAAGCTAGTAAAAGCAAAAGCGAAAAGTTGAGAGAGAGAGAGAGAGAAAGAGAGTCTGTAAGAGAGAGAAAAACAGAGAGGGGGAGGGGGATTGTAAGACAGAGAAGAGGAAGAAGAAGAATTGAGAATGATATAGACGGAAAAGAAAAAAGAAGAAAATGGAAACGTAGGAGGGCGAGAGAAAGATATGGAAGGTTGTAGGAGAGTGAGAGAACGAGGCACAGTGAGAGACTTGGAGAAAGGAAAGAAAGAGTAAGATGATTAGGAATAGACTTATAGGGCTAGAAATACAGATGAGAGAAACAAAGAGACAGGCAGGCAGGCCCGCAGACAGACAGACAGACAGACAGACAGACAGACAGACAGACAGACAGACAGACAGACAGACAGACAGACAGACAGACAGACAGACAGACAGACAGACAGACAGACAGACAGACAGACAGACAGACAAACAGACAGACAGACATGTAGAAACAAAAGATAGGGAGATAGACACAAAAACGTATATACCATTTTGGGAGAAAGTGTGGCAAATATGATACAAGAGTGAGAGACGAGACAGAAACAGACATACAGACACACATACAGACAGACACAGAGAGAGAGAGAGAGAGAGAGAGAGAGAGAGAGAGAGAGAGAGAGAGAGTAAAAGAGAGAGAGAGAGAGAGAGAGAGAGAGAGGGAGAAGTGAGCAACAGAACACGAAAACTCCTGACTAGGTCTTCATACCACAAGAAAACTAATCAAATTCAGACAGGATGTGTTCGCGACCCTTTTATTCTGTTACCAGAGAAGACAAAATGCATAACCGTGTTTGTTCCCAGAACTGATAGGTCAATCAGCGCTAGAATACATAAATAACCGTAGGATCAGGAGAGGAAGGGATCTGTTCTAGACTGGCTCACTTCTTTAGAGGCTTCAACATATGTCTCCGTATAAACATCAGTCTACGACGACGATAGGAATTTGAGGCTTAAAAAAAGTAACAGTAAAGGACCCTTTCCCACGCCTTAAGGCGTATAGGGCAAATATGGCTAGACCTATAGACACAAGATGGGTGATGTGGTCAGTATCACGTTGGCCGCCTTCACTTCCCCGGGACTGCACCCAGTACCTACTCAAGGCTGGGTCGACCTGGCAGCCAAGGTCATTTTTTTAGAAAAGTTCGGCTCCGCCAGGGAGCGAACCCACGACCTTCCGATCCGCGACGAGCGTCTAGCCGCTCGGCCACGGCGACTCCCAAGGCTAAAAATACCAAATATTAATTCAGTTGTCAAGCAAATTCCATGCACTGCTGTTTATCAAAATTGATATTGGCTACCAGGTCCATTCAGCCTAAAATATGCACCTGCTAATTTTCCTGGGAAGTAAAGTTAGCCATGGGATCATATTATCCTAATCATAGCATCCAGAGAGTGCTGACTGGTCTAGAACAATAATCTCTAGCCTGAAAGTGTGTGGGGAAAGGGGGGGGGGGTCCGGGAGACCATGAAGGTCCTTAGGGGAAGCTAGGAATGTAACACCGGGTGGGGGAGGGGTAAAGGTCAAGAAATTGTTTTAAGTGACTGTATTTATGCTTGTAATAATCCGTTGCGCTAAAACTTTGTTTTAGTTCAATTATTAATTATAAGTATTTATTACAAAACGACACTAACAATTTTGTTTTCATGAACAGATTGTACATTTATCGTTACAAATCGAATTGATCTGATAACATCTGATCTGGGTTTAATTATAGATTAGGTTCACATTCTCAACAAAACCTGGCCAGCTAGTGCTTCAGAATCAGAAGTTAAACAAATGATTCATGACAATTCACGCCCAGATGATGTGATTATCTATACAGATAGCTCTGTGCTGAGGGGCAAACGAAGTGTATGGAAGTTCTTAGCAAAAGCAAATAGCTTCGCTTAGCACAACAAAGCCTGGCGTATAATTTCACAACGTCTAGTTTCACAACGTCTAGTTTGAGAATGGAGCTGCAGGCAGTCACTGCTGCTTTCCGCTGGCTTGAAAATCACAGAGCATTTTGAGAAAGGTGGAGACAGGCATGCTCTGTGATGAGTTGCAAGCATCACTTCAGAGGTCCCGGGTAGTTAGCGTCCCTTGGATATTTTCTCCAGGTCATGCCAGTATGTAGGGAATTGAACAGGCGCATAGGTTGGCCGGTTCTGCACCGCTTGGTGGTGAACTGATGTATGATGAGCTGGATGTTGTGAGAGTCCCTTGGGAGCGGAGAATAGTGCGGAGGCACAGGTAGATCATTACGGTCTGAGGAAAAATGGCACTGTGGGAGTTACTAGGGGATCTGGCCGCGCTGGAAACTCGAGGAAAAGGTAAGACGGAAAGACAGACAGTTACTGGTACCATCGGAATTAGAACTCTTCGCTTGCTGCTGAAGATGGGGACGGGCGCTTATGGAGATGTCCCGAGTACTGTGATAACGATTCCTAATTCAACATTCATTCAACTCTTTTTTTAAACATTTAATTATGTTGGGGGGGGGGTGGACATGGGGTCTTGCAAAATACTGACGAGCGTGTTGGGGTATTGCAATATACTCGGGGAAGGGGGGGGGGCTCGCCAAATGGGGCGTGGATGCCTTGCCATATACTCAAGAAAGGCATTGGGGTCTTGCAATATACTTAACGGGGCTTGGGGGTCTTGTCATATACTCAATGGAGCGGCGACCTGGAGGAAAAAGTGTGTGGCTACTGGTCTATACACTAATGCCGCGTAGCAACAATGCCAGATGTGCCACTGGCCTGAAAAGAGTTCACCTTCGCCTAGCATTATTTTCGTCTCATACGTATCCCTGAAAGACCACAAGGATTCTAAATAATATGTCTTACCTTTATCGAATTGGACCATTCTGACTAGTCCTTCTTGTCTGTCGGATGTCTATGTCCTCTACCTGAATCACTTGAACCTTTGTATGAGAACACCAGCCATGAAACTCGCGAACTTTCACCAGCCCAACAATATTCTCTCCCCAGCAATGAGCAATATGCTTTCCTGCAGCGGATGTTGAGGGTCGTGACTGTGGTTACTAGTGCGTTGAGGCGTTTCAGATCAAATACAATGGCGCGCTAACAGATGAGTGTTTAGAAGTTTTGGACGTAAGATATGCCTGCGAGCCTAATGTGTAACAATTTTTGTGTGTGTAAAGTTCCTTCTTTGTTCGTTCGTACTTCTGGTTACCTCTGGGACACGATCCGATATTCTTGTATAATAATTCAGCAGTATTTTACTTCACCAACTTGTTCTCATCAGTAAGACAGTTATATTGTTTACTGTACATTTGTTTACCAAGTCCATAATCTATTTTCCTTGGTAACGACTCTGCCTGCAGGATTCCCTGTTTATAAAAAACCTTCTCTCATTGATATATGCCCAAATCCCACTGGGTTGCGTCAAGATATTTGGAAACATTTGCTGAGAAATTAAAACGGATTTTTAGAGATGAAAGTGTCCTTGCTATTCTTCTCCAACAATAATTTAAAAAACTACAAATTACAGATTACACCCACAAGGGATATGTATAGAGAGAATCATGAAACTGTGAATTCAGTTAGGTCGTTAGCTTTCTGCATTCTTCTACTGTGTCTTTTATAAACCTATACGTGATTGATATTATCCTTGCCTGCGTTGGAATTCCTCGCTGAAAGCAAATAGATTGTCAATATACTGTAAAAAGAATATATGCAAAAAATGTTTGATATCTCTATATACAGATGGTCTAGCTGTATGCGCACTCGCTGATGGCTTGTAGGCTTTACATAAATGTTCGAATATGACTGAAGCTTGTGAGTGAGTAAAGAAGGTGAAATGGTGAGCTCTGTGGTACAATGTCGTGCCTCCCTTCACAAACAATATGCACAGCGAAGAAAAGGGGGTGAGGTTCAGAGCTTTACAACAGGACAGGAACACGATGTACAAACTGCATTGGAAAAAGTGAAACTTGACAATCGTGGTGTGAGAGGCTGCAGGGTCCAGCTGAGGTAGTTCCTCATTTAATATTCCTTAGCTTGTATTCATCAATATTCTTATAGATCACTGGTATAGATGAGGTATATGTTATCTTTGTGAGGGCCTTAACAAGCGTGTCTGGGTGTTTTATGTAAATGGTTATATGGAATTAGTGATTTTGTGACGAATATATTTTTTGCTTTGTCCTTATCCTACATATTACGATATTGAATCCCGTATGTGCAGACAAGCTGACTTTTCTAGATAAGTTTTTGTTGTGTAGACCGAACACACGTAATTTACGTGAACTGTATATCGTCTGCAGACGTCGTATCTTGTTTGCTTATATAAAGTTATCTCGTATGTTCATATAGTTTATTTTGTATATATATGTAACCAAGCAATCATTGATCATCCGCCAAATCCAGACACTTAGCTCTTTTAAAGAAGATACTTTCAAAGGAAGATGATATCTGAGCCGTGCCGATGATCTGTCTGTTCAAACCTAAACCAAGTCGATAATCTGTCTGCGGTTGTAAAGATCTTTCAACATTTGTCCATAGATGATACAGATTGGATCTATCGTATATGCTTTAATTCATTTATGTAGATATCATATCTCGTTTCGAAAGATAGTTCAACCAGTTCTTATGTGCTTTTTAACTGAGATTATTTATGCTGCCTGCAGAAATGATTGATCTCCTGTGTCCAAATATTTTACCATATCCGTTGTTTCCTTTCCTCACAGACAACGCCAAATTACCACATAATTTATCACATGTCGCACTTAACCGTCTCTATGTAGTTATTTTCGACATCATACTTCCTTCTGTCCAAAGACATACATTACTTATCACCAAGAATTAGACTACACTCGCATATTCTCATGTGGTTGATCTCATATCAAAACCACTGGTTTAGTTTCAGTGTTTAGGCAAATCACGACTCCCTTGAGATACCTCCATTATTAATATAGACACTGTCAATATCTCGAATTCCGCCACAGATAAGGTCAAAACACCTTTGTCCTGAAACACCATTACTCTTATGGTGTCTTTTCCAATGACAATGATGCAGCAGACTGTACCCCAGAAGCAGAGCTTATCCGTCAGATTTCAGGATTAGATGACGTATTGAAGTGTCAACGGATCGTCCCCTGCCTCCTTGTTAAAGTCAGAACTCGTAAGGTCAGGCCTGCCAAAAGTCTGCAGAGAATAAAATATTGGTTAACAAAAGCATTATTAATTGCAATTTTTAAAATTAATATTATAGTTACTAATTCGTTGCATTATAGTAATGATAAACTGATTTAGTCTGGATATTTGACAAAGAGACTCGAAATAGCCTAAGGTTCGTCTTTGATGGGGAGGGGGGAGATGGTGGAGGGGGGGGGGGTGAAAGGAGTTGAACGTTGTGGAGTGGTCAAACCGTTTGCTTTGCGTTCTGTAGGTCATGGGGTCGTGTTAAAACACGCGCCGTTCTGTTTACTGGCGTTATATTTACGAAGAAGCCTGGGTATCTTTGCTGGAGCTCCTGAGTCAGTGTTTTGTGCGACGCACTCGGCAGGCGGTTAGCTGTCTTGCTGAGACAGGCAAATCCTATGAAAATAACCCCTGATGCTCCCCGTGTGGGTTCTAAGACTCCATTGTGGGGAGAACAAGGATAGACCTACTGCCTCCACAACAAGCATGTCGTAGGAGTCTGTGAAACAGGTGGGCACGCAACACTCCGGATCTGCAGCAAGACTAAATTCCGGAGATGGGCTAACACCCAGAAAGGCATGTTGTTTGTTAAATTTCTGCTGGCTCAGGGATACAGAAGTTCAAGCCATCAAGACAGCGGTAGAGAAACTACTAAATAACGGGTAATTTTCACAACCTGTGGTACTCCTGACAGATGCAAAAGCGTTACTTCAGGCACTCCAGTCTGGAAAATTACCAAGTATACGGACACTATTATCCGAACTAGGTAACCGCTGTAAATTAGTAATGGAGTGGATACCTTCCGACTGTGGAGTTCCCGGACACGAAAGAGCTGATAAACTAGCTAAGGAAGGTGCAAATAAAGAACAACCCTACGTACCACTCTTTTATTAACAGAAGAAGAGAATAATCAAATCAATCAGAAAGCCGCCGAAACTGGCACAAGACGATTACCATATTATGAATAGACCACAGCGTCATTATCATTCGCCTTAGAACAGGGCACTATCGACTTCGCTGCCACATGTACAAAAAATTTAAGATTGGCGAATCAACCATGTGTACCTGTGGACTGGCACCTGAGACAGCAGATCACATCCTCCAAGACTGTCCCAAATTCAACGCTTCAAAGCTTTCTGCCAAAAGAGACACTTGTGGAAGTCAAACTTTAGGGGACGCTTAGTGAATTACAAAAGAAAGTGAAGTTCATACTAGAGACAGCATTGCAGATAGAGATAATTTATTTTATGCGAACAAAAGAAGAAGAAGAAGAGACGGGGCATTTATGTGAAGACCCGTCGACATTGAAGCTGGAACCTTGATTAACGACTGAAAAACTGCTTGTCTTCCCTCTTTTGACTTTGTCTCCAGCCTGTTAGCCTCTTCTTTGCCCGCCTTCAACATTTGCATGCATGGTTCTTACACTCGTAAAATTGCGATGTCCTTCAGTGTGGCCGAAATATGTCGCCTAATTATTTTGGTAATTATTTTCATTCTCAGTCTTTCCGATAACTGTATTTCATTCTGACCGTGAAATGCAACCTATACTGTAAATCCACATATCTAGCGCCACAAGTCAACTTTCTCACTGTCTATTCATTGTCCAGTTTTCTGTATATCCACATATCAAGCGCCACAAGTCAACTTTCTCACTGTCTATTCATTGTCCAGTTTTCTGTATATCCACATATCAAGCGCCACAAGTTAACTTTCTCACTGCTTATTAATTGTCCAGTTTTCTGTATGTCGACATATCCATTTATCTCATATTTCTGAAGTAAAAAAATGTGCTGTATTTACGTCGAATTATCTAACCAGATTTCTCTAATATACTGATACTATACATTCAGACAATAGCTGGTAACATACAGTGCGATGCTTGAGACAGAACTGTATTTTCAAGCATATTGTTGGCGGTTACTAATTTATTTTCGACATTTCGCTTATGCTGCCTTTACTGATATTTTCAGTGTTCAAAATGGTTTAAGTTCACCTTTAATATAGCAAACGGAATTGTAAGTGTTATCAAAATGGCCATTCTTCAATGAGAGATAAGTACTACACTTTAAGTGATCATTAATACTTGAGAATCTTGTAGATGAATATGATAACAATTCTCAGTGGAGGTTAGAAAACCTGAAGAACTGGCTATGTCGTGAGAAGAGAAACAGATGCATGGACTGGCTTGTAAAGTAACGTGTATGACTTGTTATCTAAGGTGAGATGATACAATGATTGGGCACTGGGTAGCTGGCAACAAAGTTAATGAAGAGACAGTAAATTCAGTTGTTTTGTTATCTTGTGAGCGCCAGACTAAGTCCTCGTCAATTGCCACTTTTGACGTTAAGCGTCGTGGGGGAGGAACAGTTTGCAATCTATTGCTCGATGGATAGCACTGGATTTTGTTATTCCGTGTCAACGTAGAATATCGTTAGTGCCCTCATACCATATGCTACTTGCGTCAGATCATTTATGCTGCAGCATCTGTTGTGGTAGTTGTTGTGCCTGCTTTCTAGCCAGATGGCCAAACCATTTGATGGTCTGCTACTCATCGAATGTGGTGCATGGTGTTGTTCCAAAAATCTGTCTAACTGTATCATTTCTCACTCTTTCTCAGATGTTTAATTTGGAGGTTTCCATTGGAATAGCATCTCACCTGTGTTAATTTTTTTCAGGTCAGCCTCTGACAAAGTCCAAGTT